TACTGAGACTTGATATGAAGCATAATAGAATAGAGAGCATAACATAAATTCTTTATCTTTACCATTATTAATAGAGAGTAAAACAAAATAAAAACCAAATAGAATAGAAATCAAACTTCTATTCCTAAATATTTCAAGTATTCTAAACAAATGCTTGAAGTATACCTCATTAAATTTACATTGCTTTCAACTCAATGAAAAACAACAGCTAAAAAACCTTGAATACCAAATAGCCAAATAAGAAAAAATGAAAAAATCAGTGCATACAACATTGATCTTGGCCAAGAAATAACTTACAACCATAATACCCAAAAACCCTACAACTTAAGATTTCCTAAACTCAACCTCAGAATTTATCCCTTATTTCGATTTTCAAATAAAAATCACAAAACACAAATTCATTACATTAAACAAAAGCCTAAAACAAAATATTAAGTAAAATATGATTCAATCAATGTGTAAAAGAGATTAAGATAAGCCTATCTATGGTCGACAATGGCTTGAGAAGAGCTCCGATTGCTAAATTTACTTCACCTAACTATGGTCAACAATGGTTTAAGAAGAATAGAGGAGAGCATTAACCACCGAGGATAGCAAAGGAGAGTAGAATAGAGTTTAGCAAATGAGAACAGAGGAGAGCATTAACTCGGTGTTTGGCAAAAAAAATAATTCACGAGATTGTTAGCATGGATTTTGGAAAAAATGTGAAAAACCTAATAAAAAAATATAAAATGGTGTAGTTTAGGAGTTTATGGGAAACTTAAATTAAAATTATTTTTTATATAAAATTATAATTTGTGGTTTATGAGTCATATGCCAAAGAAATATTTGATTTCTTAAAATTTTTTATATAAAAGTTACAATTTGTCATATTTTATTTTAAGGAAGTATTTGATTTCCTTTTGTTTCTTAAAAGTTTTATATGTCAAGGAAGTATTTGATTTCCTTCTAGTATTAAAAAACATTAGCTTAGTAATTAATCAACCGATTAAATCTACATCTGATTCAACCTATGATCCTATTATTACAACATTGCTAGTGGCAATAAAAGTTTTAATAAAATAGTCAATTATCATCTTATATATACTGGTGTGTTGAAGTTTAAAACTTCCAGTTGTGATAAATTTTCTATGTTAATGTTACCTAAATAAATTATACATTATAAAATTATGTGAACTTGTTTATTGACAATATTTAATCTTAATAGCATCAATGTTTAGTGGGGATGTTAATGGGCAAGCTATGGATGAGTAGAGTATCATCCATTCTTAAAGGTAGTGCCTCGTTGGAGCTTAAGAGGCCATGACCCTCAAAAATATTTTGAAAACATTTTTATGCGTATATATTTAAAAATAATTTCTTACTTTAAAAAATTTCTTTTAACAAAATTTTTAAATTAGAAGTTTTTAAATTTTTAAAATTTCTTTTAAAATTATAAACAAAATGTGTATTTAAAAATTTTTGTTCTACGTAATATTTAATTCATTTTCTTTAATTATAAATTTTCATATATGAATACATAAATAAATTATGCTCAATAAAAAAAATTATATTCTTAAAAAGGTATAATAATAGTTATATATAAGCTAAGTCAAATTGTCACTTATAAATTATACATTAATTTGAACTTATTAATGATGGATAAATAACGTCACCTTGAATCCAAAATGTCACAAAAAAAATCCCATCAAATTAATTTGGTGATAAAAGTTTGTCACATTTATATTATTGTCATATAACACCAAATGTGACAAAATTGTAATGTCATTAATAGTTAAGTAAAGTATGTACAAAAATTAATAATGTCACCTAAAATTTATAAAAAAAAATATTCATCACAGGTAAAATTTTAAATTGGTGATAAAATTATAACATCACCTAAAATAAAAAATGTCATAAAAAATTTTCCATCAAATTAAAAGTTTTTGACATTTAAGTTATCATCATATAACACCATATATTGACGTGACAAAATTGCAATGTCATTAATAATTAACCAAAGTATTCAATTTGTGACAAAAATTAATAACGCCACATAAAATTTATTAAAAAAAATTCATCACAGATAAAATTTTAAATTAGTGACAAAATTATAATGTTGATTAAAATAAAAATGTCACAAAAATTTTTTTTTCACAAAATAAAATTTACAATAAAAATTTGTGACATTTATGTTATTGTCATATAATACCATAAAATAAAGGTGACGAAATTGCAATGTCATTAATAGTTAACTAAAGTATTCCATTTTGTGACAAAAATTGATAATGTCACCTAAAATCTATTAGAATAAATTCATCACAGATAAAATTTAAATTAGTGACAAAATTTAAATGCTACCTAAAATAAAAAATGTCACAAAAAAATTTCCCAAAAAGTTTTTGACATTTATATTATCGTCATATACCACCATACATTGACATGACGAAATTGCAATGTTATTAATAATTAACTAAAGTGTTCAATTTATAACAAAAATTAATAACGTCACCTAAAATTTATTAGAAAAAATTTGTCATAGATAAAATTTTAAATTGGTGACAAAATTATAATGTCATCTAAAATTAAAAAACATCACAAAAATATTTTCCACCAAATAAATTTGACAGCAAGATTTTAGTGACATTATCATGTGATGATTTTATATATCGTCATATAAAATATCAAAACAATATAAAAGTGTGATGAAATATATTTTTCATCACCTATTGCATACTTTGCGTGACAAATTATAATGCGTCACTTCAATTTATATAATTTAAGAGCCAATTTATACATTAGCCATTGTTATTGTTAATCTTATTATAGTAGCATCATACATTCAATTTGTCTAAACAAAAAAAAATTTAAAACGGATGGAAGAATTGAGGGGATAAAATTAATTAAAAAGAAAATTTAGAATCAAAGATTGATGGGCTAAGCTAAATTATTGAAATTGCTTGCTAACAAGAATTGTATCGAATATGCATTTGAGTATATAATCAATTTAATTGATGCAAAATTTATGTACTAAAACATAAAGTTTGAATAGCCCTATCTGATCTGAGAAACAAAAAGCTTGGTATTGAAGATCTAGAATGAGTAGCACGTTTTACACTAACCAATGAAAATCACAACTCAACCTCTTAAAGTGAAACTGAAAACTATCAATATTTATTAAAAAAAAGAGAGAAAGAGAGAGAGAGAGAGAGAAGTGAGCTTGGCTTTGAAGATTACCATCCTCCACCACTCTCGATGTCGACTCTCCACTCCCTGGCTCAATTGCCGGCTTACCTCTTTCTCTCCCCTTTGATCTCTTTTTTTTTTTTTTTTTTTTTGGAGCATGACAATAAAATTGATGTCCACATGGATCCATTGAATGATGCAGTTCCCAATCACTTAATTATGATTTACAAATGACAAAGACAAGTTTGTTGGGGAATCAAACATCACACGGCTATCTGCCTCATTATTATTTGCTCTTTAATCAAGATATTAAGATGATTATTGGGTAATAGATTCTCTCCGCATCCAACAGTTTGGAACTTTTTTCCTTTCTTTAAATTCTTTTAAACTTTAATTTTTTATATAGTCACTCATTATCTGTCACATTTTTTAAAATAATTATTTTTATTTTTAGAAAATAAAAAATTAAAAAATAAAACGCGCTACTTTTTTCTTTTTTACTTAACAATCTACTATTTTTTCTGTACAATCTACAATGATCTATAATTCAATTTACCTTACAATTTTTTTCCATTTAATTTACCTTACATTGAAGAAATCAAATTTGTAAGCTGTAATCCTTTTTATTTTATAATTTTATGAGAAGAATTTCATATTTTCGATTTTAAGAGAAAATTTAAACATGGTAAAAATACCATTTTATTCAAGAATGTATTGCCAATAAACAAGTGAGTGCAACATGTGATGTATATTTATATCAAATTTGCTGGTATTTTACAAAACCCCTCAAGAATGATAGCTTTCAAAAACCGAGGTTCAAGCCAAGAGTACGAAAAGCTTCATGTTTAAGGAAAAGTGTTAGCAATTAGACTTGAAATTACATTCATTCATCTAGTTATTCATGAAACTAGCTATACAAGAATCTAGTTATCTCTATATGAATCTAGTTAATGATAGAAGAATGAATCTGTTGAATATACCCTGTTAATTACATGTATCATTTGTGTTTAATGTCTTGAGCCTAGATTCACCTTTTGAGTAATATCATACCTATGTAATTCAGCAAGTTTAGTAAGTCAACCAAAACCAAGTTCTTTGAATTCTAAGTGACTTCCTTTTTGGTTTGAACAAAAAGTTGCTTTATCTTTCGACTCTTAAATATCTTTGTCCGTAGAATCAAGTATGGCCTTAATTCTAAGTGTCCAACTCAAAACATTAAACACAAATTATACTCATAACAAGGTACATTTCATTAGTTACATTCATCTATCGTTAACTAGATTCTAACAAAAGTTTCTCTCTCTCTCTCTCTCTCTCTCTCTCTCTCTCTCTCTCTCTCTCTCTCTCTCTCTTTATGTCTACATATATATATATATATATATAATTTAAACATTTTCAAAGGTAATGTAGAGAGGATTTTAAACCGTCGCTATTGTAGTGTAACATCATGCATATATTATTGTATTACTACAGGCCTGCATGAAATAAATTCACATGATCAATGATAAGATATATTTTCCAAGAAAGATTACCATTTATCCAATTATTATAGGAGATCACCTCTGTAAATTAATTTGATGGCAAATGGATGGCGCAATATAGGGCTTAGAAAGTAGAAAGAGCTCCCTGGCTGACTGTGGAAAAAGATAGGCCAATCCTTCTGGTTCCTCTCACATGGAGTAGCTCGAGAGAATAATTTTAAAAGTTAAACGACAAAAATTATATATCTATCTATTTATTTATATTTAAGTCTAAGTCTAAAAGCAAAAAAGAAGAATAATAAAGCAAAAGGCAGCCCAACATGCCAGTGTGTAATCTGTAATCTGTATTTATTAATAACAGATCCTTGTGTTGTTGAACAGATAAGCTGTCCCTTTTGTCTCTCTCAAAATTTCCCAATATGCTATTACTTTCTCAGCTTCTTTAATCTTTTATATCTCCCACTGTCTCTACCTCTCTTTGGAAGAAAACACACTACTCATCAAAAATATTTTGTAGACTATGGCGTCAAGAGCAAGAAGGAAGCAGAGATGGTGCACACAAACACTAACGCCATTAATGGAAGGGCCAGACCCTGAAATGCAAGAAGAAGGAAACAAGAAGGAGAGTTCTTGGGAAGTAATCCGAGAATGGTTTCGAACACAAAAGGGATTGTCTGCAACTAATTTTTCTATGTCTAATTTATATGAAAACAATCCTGCTAAGAGTCAAGACTTAAGACTTCTGCTTGGTGTTTTGGGTTGCCCTCTCGCCCCCATTCCTCTTGTTAATCATCCAATTCATCACATTCGTGTCAAAGATATTCCTATTGTAAGTTTTCAATCCTATTCTTCTCATTTTCTTTCTTATTTCCCAACCTAAAATGTCTGTGTTGATATTTCTATAGGAAACTTCGACGGCACATTACATTATACAACAATATTTGGCGGCTTCAGGATGCTTGAAACAGCAGAAATGTGCGAAAAACATGTATGCAACAGGAAGTGTGAAGATGATTTGTTGCGAAACAGAGATTTCTTCCGGTAAGAATGTGAAAAGTTTAGGAACAAGAAGTGGAGAAAGTGGTTGCTTTGTTGTCTGGCAAATGTTGCCTGGGATGTGGTCTCTTGAGCTGGTTGTTGGAGGCAGTAAGGTCATCGCCGGAAGCGATGGGAAAACAGTGTGGCGACACACTTCTTGGCTTGGCACCAACGCAGCCAAGGGACCTCAACGACCTTTGCGTCGCATAATCCAGGTACTCGACTCTATAATCCTCTCCATTTATCTTTTATCTTTCTCATATTTCTTCTGATAAATCATTGATAATTGAAGATTACCATCAAATAATTGGCATTAAATTGGAAAATTCCATACCAAACAAAGACAATGATGGGAGAACAAGATGACAATCCCAACTAAGGAAATGGAATACAACTGACAATGATGGAGAAACTGTCTCATGCTTTAGCAGACATTTTCTTTTTCTTTTTTCTTTTGAAACATGAGTATCTGAGTTAGGAATGTCACGTGATTATCTTATTTGTTGACATCATCTACCATCAATCACGTACATCCAATAATACCGTCCAATTCTTGGGATTGCTAACTTACCCTTTGGCTTTAACTTTTCCATTTTGCTCTTTACTGATTAGTACTGCTGCCTCCTTTGCTTTTCTGGGGTTCTCCCCCCTTCTTTATTTAATTTTCTACTTATTATTCCCAAATCATCCCCTTTTTCTTTTCTTTGATTCTTCTAATATTAAATGTCCAGTTTTTGGGATGACTACCAAATCTCTCAGATACGATACTTTCAACCTTTAAACGCGAGATAACTCCAAGTTCATACCATGGTCTCTAGATGAGTGTACGTCAATCATGTTATTTCGTTTTTATATTTGGAAATAAATATAATTTTCTTTTTTTATAAATGCTATCTGTAGAAAAGAAAGAAAGAATTATGCCTTTTACAATTATCCATTTTCCATTATATTTTTTCACTTAAAGCTATTCATAATCAATTGATGATAAAAATTTAATATTCTATCAAATCACATAATATTGGTTGAAAGCACATCTTTTTTATAGTATATATGCTGAACTCTTTCAATTCAATTTTGACAAGTTCAAATATAAAAAAAAAAAAAAAATCCAAAAAAATTTATTTTTCAACATGAAAATCCATTATTAAAATAAATGAGAATCATAAATTAATTAGTCACTAATTAAATGGATAAGGAGTTTCAAAATTACATGACTTAATTGGATTGATTTTTTATTTTAAATAAGGATAGATTTAGTTACAAGCTAATTCTTTGTGATTAATTCAGGGCCTAGATCCAAAGACAACGGCCAGCTTATTTGCGAAAGCTCAGTGTTTAGGCGAGAAACGAATAGGTGACGATGAATGCTTCGTACTTAAAGTATGCGCTGACCGGGCTGCCGTGATGGAACGAAACGAAGGGCCAGCAGAGGTGATCAGGCATGTATTATACGGTTACTTTTGCCAAAAGAGTGGCCTATTGATATACTTGGAGGACTCCCATCTGACCAGGGTTCAAACGCAAGAAAATGACTCTGTCTACTGGGAAACTACAATTGGAAGTAGCATTGGAGACTATAGAGATGTGGATGGAGTGTTGATTGCGCATCAAGGAAGATCAATCGCGACGGTTTTTCGATTCGGGGAGCTTTCCATGCAGCACAGCAGAACTAGGATGGAAGAAATTTGGAGCATTGATGATGTTGTTTTCAATGTTCCAGGACTCTCCATGGACTCTTTCATTCCTCCTGCTGATATCTTTGATAATGTTCATTGCCCTTCACGATAATAACATCAAGACATGATTATATATGCTTTATTTAATTTGTTCTAATTTGCAGCAAAATATATATATATATAATTGGTGGGGAGGGTTGGTTTATGCTGCACGTATCTTAAACTTAATCTGAATTTCAAGTGTAGTTTGTAGGTCGTTTTCCAAGTCATTAACCTCATAACAAGATGACAAATTCAGGGTTGGAGTGGAATAAGTAATTTTGTTTGATTTTTGGATTTCTTTTCTCTCCTTTTCGGAAATAATGTTTTTTTTTTTTTTTTTGGGAGTTTTGATATAAGTTTGCAAGGGTAAATAATTTATAAAGTTGTTGAAGGTGAGAGTCGGATAAGATTTTTGGAGAATGATATGGATTTCAATAATTAAGCTGTGCAAGATGTGGAAAGTTGGAGACTCTGTTTTTTGTGGATGAGTTGAATCGGCCAGTTGGGAGTTGCCTCTCTGTTGCTGTTTAGTAATTATTATTAGCAAGGGTATGTGTAGGTTTTTTACTATGTCTTTTTCTAAGTGTTTTAATTTGTTTGATGGTGCAACACATAAATTAATCTTGGCGGGAGTCTCTTAAGAGTTTTTTTGCAACGTTGTCCAAGTTCCTTAAATAGTGGTGTTGTAATCTCATTGGGAATTGGGTGTTTTGTATGGGCTTTTTTCTTTTTATTTGTCCCTGAATTTGCTTTAAACAATGTTCGATACTTTGCTAGCTCTTGCAAGTTTTGCAACCTCTTGATTGCTTAATAATTTATTTGGCTTAGCAAAATAAGTGTAACAGACTTAGGTTCCGTAGGTATTTCGGTTGATGGTTTTACTTTTTACTGTTTACTATTTATCTTCTATTTTTAATTCATTTTTATCTTTTCCTTTTTTTTTTTTTTCTTGAAACGAATAGTAAAAATATCAACAACTAAGTGGAACTTTAATATCATAATGCAATATTCAAAGTTCAAACATAGTTTTAGATACATAATATCAATATAGAATCCATTTGCCCAAAAGGTCCTTAAAATATAAGTACATAATCAATAAAATATTTTTTCCTTGTATGAGATCCTTAGTGTTTGATAACTACTTTGAACCTTAATTAATCAAAAATTAAATTAAATGAAATCTCATAAGATAAATAAATTCTCTTAAATTTATTTTTTTCATTCATAAATTTTGAAAATGAAATCTTATTTAAGAGAAAATAAAATCTTATTTAAGAGAAATCGAACTTCTTACTATTCGGTCAATAAACGTGGATACCAAAAAGATATTGTTTCAACGATAATGAGAAGATTTTACAAACTTAAATTTTAAGTTCAAAGTCTTATTATTTATGAATTTAAGTTAATTTTTTATTAAACTTTTTTGTATGAAATTATAAGTTCGAATTACAAGCATAATTCAATATTGTATTATTTAACAATCAAATTAATTAATTAATTAACTAACTAAAACATAACAAAGTAAATTTAATATAAAATTGAACTAATCCCACATGTAAATGCCTCATTTTGCTCGAAATCTTTCCAATGTCATTGGATTTCAAATTATAATTTGGTATTCAACTTTAAAATCATTTTTTAGTTTAATTGAGTATTAATTTGAATTTAATTGTGCGATTGATTAAGCCCAAAATTAAAAGGCCCTAAAGTGCTTATTTCATTTATTTTCTTTATTTCTTTTATTTTTGTTAAAAATAGAAAATCGAAATTGAAAAAAAAGGTGACAAAAAAGAGTTTTGAAAAGGTTTGATTCTTGATTTTTGAAAGATTTAACAGATTATTAAGCAATCAAAATTATCAAGCAATAATTTATTAGAGAGGCAATTGAGATATCAAACTCAAACCTAACCCAATTCCCAAATCACCCCTTCATAGTAATCAAACCGAACTCAGCAACAAATCCACACAGGAAAAACCACAATCAGCAATTCAGAGCCAATACACCAGCAACCATACACTAAAACAATCGAACCCAACATAACAGAGACAAGTCACAAACCCAATTTTCATCAGCAAGTTAGCAACAATCCATACAATTTGGCAGAGGCTTTGGGTTTCAGTTAGTGTTTTATCGGAAGTTTCTAGGTTTATTTTAAAATAAAGATAGGAAAGAAGGGGAAGAGGTGAAAAGTTTCGTTGTCGGTAAGCAGCGGCGAAAGGGGGATCCGACGACTGTTTTCTGGGCTATGTGTTTTTTTGGAGAGAAGAGATGGAATAGGACCTTTTAGAGAGAGAAGAAGAAGAAGAGATTTCAAGTTTGAAAAACGCACCGTGTGGTAGTGGGTAACCTTGGTGTTTGAGTTACAGTTGAGTTATAATGATGATATCATTCTAGTTTTTTTTTTTTTTTTTTGGGTGTTGAATTGTTTTTTATTTTTGTTTCTTATTCTGAGTGTGTTTTTCAGCCTAATTATCAATTAAATTAATTTGACTTAGAAACAAAATTTTAAATTGATCATTTAACTTTTCGAAACCTTCAAATTTAGTTATTCAATTTTGAAAAATCACTATTTAACACAAACATTTGTGAAATATTTAATATTTTTATCTTTATTGTCAACATTTCACTGTAAACATAGCATTACAATGATTTTGTTAATAATGTTTATGAAATTTAATAAAATAAATTATTTACTACTTTTGTTATATATTTTAAAGTATTTTAATATATTTTTTATGATGTCACACTCAAAATGTTATCCGTAAGCAAGTTAATCCATCTACAATGATTATTAAATGAATGTCTAACTTTTAATGAACATAATTTACATTTTATTTTAGATGAACAAAGGAAACACTGATTTATAATAAGAAATGATAAAATAATTCGTATTTGATAAATTTTGATTTATTTTAATTTAATAAATTTTTTTTTTTTTTAGATTGATAGTCAAGCTAGAAACATAAGTATTTTTAAAAAAATTCGAAGTGAAGTTGAATGAGGGTTTTAGGGTATTTTGCCCAATATATATAAAAATATATTTTATATTATTTATTTAATTGGGATTAAATTACACATTTGGTTTCTTGATCTTTTAAAATTTTTTCTTTTGATCACACAATTTTAAAAAATTAAGATTTTGTCACTCAAATTACCGGTTTTTAATATCTAGAATTTATTTTGTTTTCCAAATTTTGTAAGGCCATGTCAATTGTCCTACCATATAGCATGTTTGATGACATAGCTAATAAAAGGTTGGCTTAATTGGTAAGAATCATTGTAAAGATTTTAAGTTCGAGTCTTAACTTTTTTTTAGAATTATCTCGGTATGGTACGATCTCCGGTCATTATTCTTAGATTATCTAATACGACATATTTTATTTTATCTTAAAGATTGAGTAATCTATTTATTTTTAAATTTTTTTCAACAAAAAAAAAAAACACATAGCAATGCTACATAATAATAAAAAGAGCTATGTGAACCAATCATTAGCTTTGATAATTAATTGGTCAAAATTTTAAATTTAATGAATATTACTATCAAATAGTGATTTTTAAAAAAAAATTGTTGACTAAACTAGAAACTCTAAAACAAATTATGTGAGTCAATGTGTAATTTACCCCTAATATATAAATTGGACATAATACATATAGATTTATATTTGACACATTTATAGTGTGTATATTCCATACATTATCAATTAGCTATTTGCTATCATTTCCATAATGAACCATTTTTAACATTTGAAAGTCTTTAAAAATAATTATTCTTAAGGTTTTGTCAAGAAATAGTTAAAAATAAATTATGGGATAAAAAATAAAATAGCGTAGGGAAGGACCCAGCGAGATTAGTTAAAGGTTTTGTAGACAAAGTTTCATAAAAGTTTTATAGAACATCTTAAACTTTGATGACCAAACAGCTCTTCTAATTATAATTAAATTAAAAAAATAAAATATTTGAAAAGGCTCGAAAGATTTGACCTATTGAAATTTTCTTTAACATTTCAAGAAAAATCAATCACAAAATGAAGTTCTGCTTAATAATAAAATTTAGCAATATTTTCATGGAGTCTATCTTATTAAAGAAGGTATTATAAAAAGAATGTCAAACTAAAAATTGAGATTTAATCATGAACCATTAAATATAATCAATATTGAATGGAGTTTTGTAAGCGAAATTGTGATTCAAAATCTTTCTTTTGTATCATTAAAAAAAATTTTATATGATAAAACAAGATGAATATTATGTATATCTATCCGTATTACTATTATTAACCTAATAGAGAAAAATTTTATCAACCATATTAAATCTAAGAAATTAAAAAACTTAGTAGACCTGGTATTCTTTCGCAAACGAAGATAAAGAGCATCTGAAAATGCAATAAAAATGTATAAAATCCCAAACGTTTATCTATTTTCAGGTGGACGAGAGATAAGAAGGAATCTTCTGAAGGCAAACAGCTGCTAGAGAAAGGGGTCTATAGATAATGTAAAATCTTGAAATAAGGGGCATCGATCTTCTTTGCTATTTCCTTTCTTTGTATCTTTCTTGCTACCTATATGTACTTCGTAGATTATCTAGTTTCTGCACTTTGTAAATTATCCTCGCACTTTGTTAACAGTCTATTTTGTATGGTGGTTAGAGGACAATATTGGGATTTTATAGGGTGGTGTGGTGGTTGAACTTCCAGAGTCGAATTCTCTTTGTCCAACTGGTGCCTGCATGGCTGCGGGGAATTTTTTGTCTTTGGGTTTTATAATCAAAGCTCTCTCTCTATTATTACCGATTGCAAATGTGATTTTTAATTCTAAACTAGAAACCCAAAGCATTTTCCCTTCATTTATTAAAAAAAATCTCTATCAAAATTAAATGTAGCTTTTTGTGTATATTCAGTCTTAGCCACATAGTTTTAATTTTTTAATTTTTATATGAATTAAATTAAAAAATTAATTATAGTGTAAATTCAATCATATAGATAACTTATCAATTATGATATTGTACTATTTATTCACATAAACTATCATAATTTTTTTTAAAAAAAATTCATATTTTATGTTATATTATTTTAGCGATTACTTAATTAATATTGTCAAAAGCATTTATGGTTCAAAGAATAAAAGAGACCTTTCATCCTAGAGTGGAAGTCACATGACAAACAAAGATAATTTAGTCAATTTGACTAAACTAACATATCGGATGGACTTGAATTCCTGGACTCCACGTCAATTCGATCATTTCAACTAGCCACCTGATGGCACATGAAAATGCTGACTTTTCACCTCCCGATTAGGTTGCTTACTGTCAACTCAGCTTAAGCCAACGACATAAGCCCTAACCCTACTACTTGGAGCTTGGACCACCTTGGCCCAATGTCCTCACCACACAGATATAAATAATCCCCCTCAGGTACTATCAAACAATAGGAATTTTTTATATACATACATTTTCGTTTCCTTTCCTTCCCACTTTCTGATCGAGTACTAAGTTAAACATCAAAGCACAAACACCAACCTTTAATCCTATGATTTTAGGTTTTTACCCTCGTGCAGATAGCTCAACACTAACATTTTAGCGCGTTAGGTAGTGGCACTCTAGTTTAACTAAGCTATTATGACATTTATAAAAAAAGTTGTCAAGGAAGGAGATAATGCTGTAACTGGGATTGATACCCAGCTCAGCCAACATAATCCCGATCGACCTGTACATGTAGCTCTAACCATTGAGCAGTTTGACTCATACAATCCTAAAAGGAAATGATACAAAACCTAACCCTACCACAAACCTCTAAAGCATTGAACCC